ATTGGGCAATGGAAAAGGAAGAGCAGAGATGAGGGCTTTAATTTAGCCAAACTCAACTGCCATGGTAACTACATGACAAACAAAGATTAAGGGAGCAGAGGAACAAACCATTTTGTGCATTCCGTTTAACAATTTTTACTTGTTTACTTTGAAAGTCTTATTCATAAGCGACCCTAACATATTGCCATGCCAAATGTCATAAGATCTGACTATATAAAATCTTATATGTTTTATTCCTTAGGATTGCACGTATGTGTGAAGAAATGCTGTGCTGTTGCCAATGGTGTGATGCAGTTTGTTTGAAAGAAAAGCTCTCATAACTGAAGTCAATTCTTGGGACAGTTGCTCCTTGGAAACCGCTCACTAGCTCAGAGAGCTCTGGCTCTGATTCCCGAGAGCAAAGGGGGTGTCTGCAGTCTGTGCAACTACCGATTTTCAGACTGGTCTAAGCAGTGCAAATAGAAGAAGCTACCACTCAATGCTGCTAACTCCTCCTCCAGCTGCTGCTCCTCAGCAGAAAGCAAGCAACATCTTTACTTCCTTGAAAAGCATCTTTGCTACCACAGGTGGCCAAGAGATAATAGGAAAGTAGCCATTTCTACAGCATTCCTCATTTATGCTGTCTGGCCCTTTGCTTCCTTGAGGAAGCATTATTTCAGAAGCAGATGACAGCCTAGACAGGCATCATAATAAATCAACCAAAGTACAGTTCCTATCCTAAATTGTGAACTAAGCCTATGTATAAGCTATAACATAACACAGCATGAGAAAAAGAAGAAAAAAAAAAAAACTTCAGAAAATACCTATTTATCTCTTTCATTATAGAATATGACAAAATCATTTATACATTATTAATACCTTTATGCACTTAATATACGTAGCCATTTCTAGCTCACTAACATCTTCATTCAGCATACTAACAGCATACAACAGAATAATTAAAAACAAGGTGATTGCACAATTAGAACGACACCAGAAATAAGGAGAGATCACAGCTTAGTGTGTAAGGCAGAAATATCTTAAAACCACATTTCAGATGCATATGGAAAACCAGAGCGCAGGTTTGCATCACCTGACAAAATAGTTGTGAGGAAGTTGTGAAGTTGAACACCTACTGTGCAACAGAGATTAAGTTTTCAAAAAAAGGGATTTAGTAGATTGCTTTACTCTTGTATCCAGAGCACCACTCAGTTTTCTTCCCAAGAGTCTATACAAAATCAGCATAAAAAGCCTCTATCAGAAAATTTAGTCATTCATAGAGAATTAAAGCATTTTAAAATTAATATTCAGGAACAAAACACAAGACTGCTAGAAAGCATATTAGAGGAGAAAAAAAAAAAAAAAAAAAAAGGAAAAGATCCACAAGGTCTTCCCACAAGGGAAAAATGCCCACAACTTAAGACTGTTGCCATGAACAGACAATGTGAACTGGAAAATCTGAAATGGGAGGACATAATTAAGAGACTACAAAATTACAATTGTATGAATTTTAACTAGCAGATAAAATGCAGACAAATGCTGGGTCAGTCAATGTTTCTTAATAGCTACATAAATAAGCCAGTAAGTAAAGTTGCTTTGCATTGAAAGCAAAGTGTCAGCTTTTAACTGGTATCTGACCAGTTTCAGCTCTAGCCCAGATGTCCGTATTTTATACACATGACTAATGGCTTTCAAAAGAGGACCAGTTTCCAACTCCTGTGATACATGACTAAGAAAGCGGCTAACCAGGAGATGAGATCTTTATTTTTTGGAGGTTATGATCCTACTAGCAGGTACTTGTAAAACTTGTGGTATACATTCTAGCCAAAGATGAATTGCTTAGCCAGCTCAACTTTGCATTGGTTTTACTCTAATAGGATCACACAATGAGGTAATGTGCTAAAAAGCTTAGGACTACAACGGTGCTATAATAAGATTATTTAGTAACATACCACAGCCACTAGGGATGGACAGAAAATGTTTCTTTCTTTTACATACCCTTCAGCCAGAGGATATTTCATTTGTTTGATGGTGGGGGAGGCAGAGGTCCCACACCAAAGAATTTAATGTCTGAACAGAAGAGAAAAGAGAGGTCTTGTGAAGTGTTACTGAGGGAAGAGAAAAAAAAAAAAAAAAAAAAAACACACACACACACACGAAAATTGGATAGATAGTGGTAAGAGAGGGAATTAGATGTGACCATGGAGAATGAGGAGTATGGAAGATGAGAATATAGTCAGATGTGTGACTGCAAACATTTCAAGACAGCAGAAAGGGTTCAGCATTAGCCACGTTAAATTAAATTCACTGGAGGGCATCCAGAAAAGGAGATCAGAGTGAGAGAATACAACTTTTAAATAATCTGTTTATATTCATTTCAGGTCATGAGAAATAGATCATAGGCTGAACAAAACTTACTGAATTACTTTTATAAACATCTAACCTAACATCGTCAAAAAAAAAAAAAACACTCCTAATATATCTGTGGCACCACACTTAAACAAAAGGGGTGAGAGGATCAGATTCAGAAGAATAAAATAATAATGGAAACCTCAGAAATATACGGGGCCATTCACAGAGGAAGAAAAGGAGGGGTCCAAGGAAAGATTTCAGTGGAAAGAAAGTTGGCAATCCTGAAAAAGAAACATGCTGAAGGAGTGACCTAAGAGGCTTGATAAGAACCAGACTAAGACAGAATCAAAGCAGCCAAATGAGTAACTTTAAGGAATAAGTGATCCCCAGAGTGAGAAGCAGCAGGGATCAAGGACAACAAGGTGGGAGACAAACCTGTCTCCGAGCGGGGCAGAGTTGCCGGAGCTCTGTCGACAGCAGTTTCAGCTGAGTGAAAAGGACTCCAGCCAAACTGGAGCAGATCCAGGATGAAGCTGGAGGCAGTAACTGTTAAGCATCACATCTGATGAACTCAGAGATGAAGGGGGAATATAGGACTGGCTGCGCTTCAGTTTTTGGATGTTAAGGGCAAAGATTATGTGTCTCCAAATTCCAAATGGGCAAAATTTTGGATATTGCTTAATACTAGTCTACTTCCTCTATCTTTAAAATCAATGGAAGCATGATTAGATCAACATTAAAATACTGTATTAAGCTAATTAAAAAAGAAAAAGGAAAGAGAAAAGGAAAACCTAACAAAGTAAACAAAGTAAACAAAGTACAGATATCAAGAGAGATACAAGAGGATACGTGGGAATCACAGATTGTACATGTCCTGTTGTAAGTAATAAACTGTCAATATTTTTTTTCCTGTTATCTACTTGTGGTCTCATTGCCTTACATAACCATCTGCACTTATTTTTGTGAGATATTTTGACCCTATGAAGCAAAAGCATGTAGGAGTAGCCCAATTTTGAAGAAATTCTCCACTATATGATTTTATACCCCAACTTCTAAACATTGTCTAAACATTACAGGGCTTGTACAATAAGTCTGTGGAAGAACCTGTGCTACGGTCACCACGACTGAAGCACAAACATATTTGCCAACTCAATAACAGCAGCCCCCACCTTTGTATCGTGCGAGACACCCATGCAGGTGTTGGGATTCCTCTGCTCGAGGCAGGAGATGCCCGTTCTTTTGAAGGAGGCTGTGCTGCTTGCACACACAAGTCTTTATGCCACTTCTGACTTTTTTTTTTTTTTTTTTTTTTTTTACAGAAGCTTGATCTGTTTAGAGGTTTTACTGAGAAAAAATAGCTGGGAATTTGTGGCTTTCTGGTATCTCAGTTCAAACTAAAACTGTTAGTAAGATGGCAACGTCTTAAACTGCCAGCTCTGAAACCATGTTCATGCAGCTCTGGGCTAGAACTTGCTTCCTTCTCAGGCAGTCTGTCTTGCTGGCTTTGTTCAATGAAAGATAACTAGAATAAGTCTCTTACGCAGAAAAGCGAGGTACATCAATAAACAACAAAATATTCTCCCCTGCTTCTTTGCAAACTTTGTTTTTTTTACATATATAGACCTTGCCCAATTAAAAGTTTTTTTTTCCTCTCCTAATTTTGTATTCTAAACTAATGAAGGAATAGATTAATTGAATATACAATAAAACCAGAATACAGTCCTAACAAAAATAGTCCTAACCAAATCATACAACAACTCTGTGGATCAGCTTCTTCATGTGCAGAACAGGGAAAATCTTTACCAGAAAAGCACTAAGAAGATTAGTTGTGTACATTATTCTGAATTACTCAAAAAGAGTAAACACACCAACTATTTTCGGTTATGTCAACCAGTACAAAAAGCAAAGAAGCAAGCAAGCAAACTGGTATTAAAGATAACATTTTGGTGACAAGGACCAGGAAAAACCTCCACTGTAAAATTTCCATGATCACACAGTATCATGATAGAATCACATAATACTGAATTCGTCATCCGGGGGAAGGAATAGCATGTTAGGCCCTGTCTGCATCACAGTATTTTAAGTATATCAAGTTTTATAACTGCACATAGACATCACTAACATCATGGTGCTCTAGCTGGCCAGAAGACCCTCCAGTCAGATAAGCCTCTAGCTAGAGTGCCAGCAGTCGACTTGCACTGACCCTGCGCTACTTCATGTCAAATGGCAGAATTTGAGCGAGAAGAGGCAAATCTAGCATACATATCCTACTTAGTTTCTGTACTTTCATGACACCTGGTATTCTGCCATTTTCTTAATTTATATTTTTGTTGAACCAGCTGTTGCAACTGAAATGCTGCTAGACCTGTGCAGCACTTGCATTCAAAGAGAAAAGCTTCAGGAAAGCATCAGCTACAGAACAACAGTGCAACCGAATATGATACAAGTTAAAATGCTGGGAAATAAAGTTATGGGAGAATCTTTTAGAACTAAACTTACCTACAAAAGTGTACATGCCTGAACTCAGAAGATACAGTTGGCCACATTTTTAAGAGCAATTTTGATTAATATAAATAGCAGGACTCTCTTAGGATTGACTTAGGAATTGCAAACATTTGATAATTCATGTCCCTCATGGACAGACGGATGGTAACTTTTTTAGTACTTACATCAAAGGTGGGTGTGCTTTGCTGGGCACTCTGATTACACGGTTCTCTGAAGCAATCGGTGAAAGGAAGCAAAAGACCCATTGCAATAATACGAGAACATAGTTTTTCTGCTTCTTCTTGTGGCGCATTCTCCTGCTGACTGAAAAGCTTTTCCAGCAGAGTTCTCCCTGCCAAGGTGATAACATAGAATAGTAAGAATTTCTATGTCTATAGGATATAAAGCTTAAGACATTGCAACACGTATTAAAAAATCAAGAAGTATTTCAAGTACAATATAGGTTTCCAAAATTCTTGAAAGAAAACATCCAATAAGTCTTTAATATAAAATGTTTCTATAAAATTGAGCTGACCTCCAGCATGATTGAGAGAGAGAGAGAGAGAGAGAGACAAAGTGATGCTAGTGCAGCATCAATTGCCTATTTATTTTTTATACAGTTGTCCTGATGAGAAAATTGAGATATTACCAAGATATTAAATAACTTTTTCCAAGGGTGCCACACAGCTGTAGAACTCTCCTAGCTCTTGGAATGAGCCTTTGTTTTCTGAATCACAAAGCAACCAGAGTCTTTAAGAAATTGTGCACAACTTTGGTAGAGAAACTCTCAATAGAATAACGATAATAGACCCCCTCCAATATCTCTTCTGCTTACAAGGATATTTAATGCAATTCCAGAGCAGGACAGTGCTCCAGTCTAAAATGCAGTACTATAAGGACAGAATTCAGGGAAATCTTTTACGGAGTCAGAAAAACAACCTATTTCTATTACAGGGCCAGCTTTTGTGATCCCAATGTGTTATCTCAGCACAGCATTAAAGGAGGGCAAGTCTCAGAGTATATTACAGAATAACAATGCTAGAGGTCTGAAAGAACTTTGTGCTGTGTGAAGTTAGCCAGAAAGAGGCTTAAAAAAATTTGATTAGTTTTATACGCATGCTGCACTAAAATCTACACTCTAAGAATATTAAATTGCTTGATTAAGCTCTAAAATGTAAAAAGATGCCAAAGTTGGGATTTACAAGAAGAGATAAAATAGATCTACTGGAAGAGAAAAAGGCAGAGGGAGTACTAAAGTTAATTGAATGTTTTAGTATGAACTAAGTGAGAATACAATTTGTACCTAAATCAGTTTCTGATTTTTTTCCACAAAGTGCAAGCCAAAGGTATTTTCCAGAAAAAAAAAAGTACTATATTAAAAGGAAGCATTTCAGTGTCAGTTAAAGTAATAACAAAATACTGCTTTTCACATTCAAATGCAAGCTATATAAAGCATTTCTATTCAAATGCTAATCTTTTTCAAATTGTAAAATTTCATGGCATTTTTTAATGATATTAAGATATTTTCTAAAACATCTGGTTCTGATTTAGATAGAATATTTTAAGTGTCATTTAGTCCAAAGTTTCCATATTATTTTAACTTCATATAGCAATTTAGTTGTGTAAAACTAAGAAAAAAGGCAATAAATCATTAAAGTGTAGAGAATTAGCACTAGGATTTTATCTCCATATCTAAAGACTTGATAGTTTTGAATTATTATTCAGAGTTTCCTAACTTTTCATTAGAAACAATGGAATATATCCAGGAATCAGGCTTGTCATATGTATGTCAATTTTTGTCATATGTTGATCAATTTGCAGAACAGTTCCTTGGTTTCACAACCCATAAAATAAAGATAACCTTACTGCTTATTCAACACTTTCCCTCTTTTGTCTTATGCAAGTATAGTGTTGTGTGGTAAATAGTCTTCAAATGTATTCATTGATTGTATACAGGCATTCTTGGAGTGTGACTTTACTAAAGCTTCACACACAGTTGCAGCAATATGCAGCAATCTCACAGGAACTCAAAGGCAGGCAAGATTACAAAAATGTACAAGTGAAGCACAAGTAGGGAGCTATCTGCCAATATACGTTTTCGTAATTTATTTTAGGAATCTTTCTTCAGCGCTTAGCTGCTGATGCTAGAGATGCTGTAAAATAAATGCAAAGAGCACTTCTGCAGACTTCAATACTAGCTAGCATCACTCTTACTGAAACAAACACCTAGCTAAAAATACTGGCTTTTAGCCCTATAACTGTTAGAAAACAAATAAGCAAACAAGTAAAAGCACAGCACTGCCATCAGAACATCAATCACTACCATTTCTGCTAGCACTGTGCTTTGCCCACTGAAGTCATATTATCATAGTATCATCTTATATCACTGAGTAAGGGTGGAACCCATGGAAAAAGCATCTAGTCAAAATACGATAGGTGAAGAGGATGAATAGGGAAGTTAAGGAGTCCAGGCTTTATATTAACTTATCCTACCCATTCTTACATATTTTACATCAACATTAGCCATGAAAGAATAAATAAAAAGATCCCTCTGCACAAAATAGAGTGAAAGAATATTCCACGTTAAATATTCAGTTGTCCACTACTTTTGAAAAATCCAGAAAACAAAAAAGTAATAGCTTTAAAATAATTTGGTCACTTCTAAAGAATCTTCTCATAGACACATAAAAGAACCCATTACTGCTTTAAAGAAATGAAAGTAAATAACATCTGTAAATGACATGAGAGTTTTTTAATCTGTCCATTCATTCCTTATTTTTATAGCAGCACCTTTTTAAACACTCTTAAGATCAAATATTTTATTGTTTGTTCAAAATCTTAGTTGCCATTTACTCAGTTTAATCTTTATAGCAGTTAAATATTACTATTTGTTAAATTCACTTAAGCACATTTTAGGACTCAGACAATGCAAAATAAGTATACACTTCTGCAGTATAATTAAATAGTATCCTTTTTGGCATTGTACTCTTGTACTATTTATGCCATCCATCTGTACTGAAGTGTTCTCGAGTGTATTATCAATCCTTGAATAAACTGAGGAATAAAAGTTATGTAATCATGAGAAGTTAATCAAAAAGAAGTTAACACATCTTAATTTAAAATAATCAAAAATTTAATGTCATTGCTCCAGCTAACTTAAGTAGTGTTAAGCTGTGCTTTGTATCAGATTCAGGCAGATGCAAGAAAATAATCGATCAGTTAATAACATCAACTATCAACACAAAGGTAGTGTTTGGATTAAGCTGTGCTCTCCTACTGTACAATTGTTCTTTACAATTGCTGCAGACACCTGAAACAGACCCCCATGCAGATATACAGACACATGCAGAAACTAAAATTTGAGTTGAAGAAATGTATTTTGTAAGTTTTGTTAACACATTTTACCAGAAGCAAGCTGAAACTGGTTCAGTCTGCAGTACCCACAGACTTGACTTCCCAGTGAACAGCTAGAACAAATCTATATATCACTAATAAATGGATTATATGTTCAAAAGCACTTATCAAGCAATATATTTAAAATGGAATGTTATTCCAAAAGCTTTTTTTTTTTTTTTTTAATCTAATTGACTAGGGCTTACTAGCAAATCGAATGGATGTCACAAATGGCAAAACAAAAGACAAAAACTACCCAAATTTACAAAAAGGCCTTTCCTTTTCAGAGTAGAGTGGGGGGACAGAGGAAAAGGCAATGTCCTGCGGGATGCTTGCGAAGCAGAGGAAAGCATTACGTTTATTATTTTCAACTCAGGGCAAGCTGAAGATTTTTTTTTTCCCCACAGGTATACAAAATATCTTCTAATTCTGGATTCCACAGGTATATAACTACTAATGTTTTGAATTAAAATGGATTGCCTTTACCCTATCTACATTATACACTTGTCTGAAACTAATTCAAATTGAATTGACATATGTCTATAGACATGAAGTGGAAAACACAGATTTTACAATGTTAATACCTAAATCTATTCCTTAAGTAACAAAAGCAAAAATCACAGACATATTGGAGGCAAATGCTAAATTCCTATCAACTTCAACACAGCAAGATTTTCAGCTGAAGTTGTTCCTTTTTTGAGTTGCAAATAAAATGATAAAATGCAACTCCAGCCTTTTTTTTTTTTTTTACCTCAGACTCATTAATCATCGCAGACTTATTACTTTCATGAGACAATATCTGAATGTGTTGAGCATGGTTGCTCACATACAACGCGAAATTATTAAATGAATAATGATTTCATAATTAAAATGATTAACTGATTTCTGGTGAAGGGATTTAGGGGAAAAAAGACAACTTCTCTTGATTGCCATAAACATATTAAAGGATCAGGATCTCTCAGCACTCATTTTGAAAAGTTTTTTTTTTTTTTTTTTTAAATACTTTATAAATTACTCTGCTTCACAGAGATCTCAGATCATGACATGGAGGCTATTCTTTTCTTATCCCAAAAAACAGAAGGTTGGCGTCAGAAGGGGGACAATAATTTTTGTATTGGAAAAGACCTGTGGCTAAGTTTCAGTGGTCTGAGGATGTTACCATGATCCTTCAGCAAATAAAAAATAACTTACAAGATCATATTCTTAGGACAAAAAGACTTTGTATTTTTTGCTTACAAAGAATTGCACAATAACTTAAAAAAATAATTTTGGAAGAATCAGGTACACATAATTGATACTTATGCTGCCACAGCTCGGTCTAACTCGTCTGGCTCAGCTTCCAAATTCTACCCGCTCTCTCCCTCCATGTCTTTTTGCTTCTTCCTCTCCTTTCCGTTAGGATGAAGTACTACTGTCTTGTGATCTCCTTGTGATTACATTATAGGCATCTGTCCTCTTGCGATTACCAAAACTTCAGTAACACTACTCATCAAAACCACCTCCGGCTACAATTCTACAAGCAAGTTTTCATGGGAGAATGAAAATTCACAAGTCCCTGAATAGTTTCCATTTACACTACCTCCCTTGTTGAAAAGTGTGGGCATATGCTGTTTAGCATGGTTGTTGTTAATACTCCATCTTGTGAAAGCAGATTAGTCAGATATAGCATGAAGAGGAAAGGGAAGCTTGCCCCAGGAGTCGTTCTACAAATATAATATTTCATTATGACATGAAATAAGCTATGTATTATATGACATAATATTCATATAATATCAATATTGTATGAAATATACTTATTTCACATAATAATACCCCACAATACTGGCCACAGCTTCTTTCCTGCCATGAAAAAATTGCCTGTGTGTGTGTTTGGCTTCTGCCTATATGGAAGCAATGTCTAGACTTTGACCATTACTTCTGATGATTTGAATCACCTTGTCTGTCATGAGTCAGTTTTAT